CTAACATTGAAGTCACATGTTTTATTGCTACGTTAGGTATAGTAATGGAGCGTCTATATTTACAATGTCCGGTATATCTGCCAGGAAATTCCAAACAAAGATAGAAGCTGGCCAGGTAAATCATTAAATTTGCAGGCAAATTTAAAAGTTACATGTTACTATGTTAGTCATAAGAGCTCTCTTGTGAGGGCAGTATCGGAAGAAATTACATATTAAGACTTTTTTAGTATCCTCATTACATTAGTTGGAAACTAAAAGGAAATGACAGAATGAATGAATGGAAAGAGCGAGAAGAAAATCAGTTTTTCACTAGGAGATTTTCCACATGATTTAAATAAACTAATATTGTGTTCATTGCATACATATTTAGTTACCTATTTTGACCTCACAAGAGATTGGATGACGAATTTTGAGGAAAAAGAGTACCTGTAACTGATTATTTTAAAGTTCGAATTTGGAGATTGGCTGACGAATTTGGAGGAAAAAGCGTACCTGTAACTGATTATTCCTCTGAATTAAGGTTTCCTTGGATCTGAAGATGGAAGGGGATCAGATTGGGACAGCGAGCTCTCGAATTATGAAAGAAAAACAGTGAGGAGAAATGACAGAGATAATATGATAAATTAATCTACTCAACTTCATCTTCCGCCTAACCCATTTTATCATTTGATATAAACTAATTACCTTACTATGTATCTATTTTGCAGTGCAATATAATGTCTTCAAAATACTGATCAAGGATCTCAATGTCCAAGAGGCGGTCATCATTGTAAGTTTATTAGTAAATTCATATTATGTGAAGCTTTTCGTGTTGAATTAAGTTGTTATATTGTCCATAAATATTGGATTATGACTCTCTTTTCTTTGTCTATAAATGTTGAATTGGAATCTTCCTGATTGTTATTTGTATCATTCATAGATATTAAGATAAGTCATTATTTTGTCCATAAATGTTTAATCATATTATGTAGTTGTAATTATGCAAAAGTCTAACATGTATCTTGAAACTTAATTTTCATACTTTTGTTAAAAGTAATTACAGTAGATTTGATCTTTTTTATCTGTATATGTAAAATGTTTGCTGTTTTATTTAAAGAC